GCCCGTTTGCCAAGTCTACCAATGGACGTGGAAATGCCACGTCCATTAGGAATGTCCTAAGAAACGGCGTAACTAATTTAAAAGCCCTTGAGTTTATAGAATTGTAATTTTTATATTTTTATATTAAAAAGATATTATTTAAGTCTTTAAAATTGGATAAAATTATTTTTAATTTAGGGTACTAGGGTTTAGTGATTGTAATGTTAAGGATTAAACTATATTTTTAGGTTTCAAAATTTAAGGTTTAAGGTTTAAAGTGTTGGGATTTAAAATTTGTAGGGTTTAAATTTTTTAAAATTTGATGTTTAGGATGTTAGTTAGGATATAAATTGTTTAAGATTGAATATTTAGGATGTTAGAATTTAAAATTTTTTTAATTATATATTTTATAATATAAGGATTTAGTTTTTTTGAGTTATATATTTTTTAATGTTAGGTTTAGATTTTTTTTTTCAAATTTAATGTTTAATGTGTTAAATTTATATTTTTAAGGTTTAAGGTTTAATATTTAAAAATTAAGATATTTAATAATTTAAAAATTACAATTAGAGGGAAAAAATTTAAAATTTTAGATTAAAAAACATTAAAAAAAAACTACAGGGATCCATTGGCTTGGAAGCCGATTAATCCCTATAACATTACCCTTAAATTAATCACCGAATATCACCCATTTGTAAAAAATAAAATAAAATAAAATAAATGCTTGACTTTTTTTTCAAAGAAGGAATTTTTACAATACATTAATGTACAATGTGATGTGATGTAGTACTTATAATATTGTTGTTCCTTTTATAAGACAACTGTATCAAACGAAAATTGTAAGTTTTACCTGAGGTGAATTAGCCAACTTAACTAACACATGCATGGTAATCTGGGTCAAATGGAAGGAAGAAAAATGAAAATAATAATAATAAATAAATAACAAAAACTTGCTTAGCCAGTTAGCCTTGTTGGCAAGTCCCCAACAATTACAAAAAATATAATACCTTAATTTGAGGGAATTGATAGGGAGGAGAGGGACTCAATTATCAAATTGGACAGGTGGTCAAATTAGCGGAAAGTAAGGGAAGGTTTTCCCTTCCCTTCCCTCTAATTTTTTTTTCTTTTTTTGTCTTATAATAAAACAAAAAAAAAAAAAATAGTCATTTTTGTTCCCATCAAACTAAAACATACCTTGATTGATCATGATATTCAGGGTAGTAGAGCGAATAACAGACCACTTGATTCCCTTGTGTGATAGTGTTGGCTAAAGGTTCTGACTTTATTTTGTTTCTCCCTCTCTTTTGTTAAATCAAAAGAAAAAGAAAAACGAGTCACTTAAATTGGCTAATAATTTTTAATAAATATACTACTTTAAATATTTTATCATTTAATCCAAATTATATCTTATCTTAAGAATAATAAAGAATGTAGTGTGCGGTCCATATTCTCTTTTCTCTTTTTACTTGATTTTGTCTCTATTTCTCTTTAAAACCTCTTAAAATAACATTTGTTTGTCAAAAAGTTACAATTTCTTTTAGTTTAAAGAGCATTTTAGTTCACATGACTTGTAAGAGGATGACAATTTTTTTTGAGAGGGTTATAATTTAATTGGCATAGCTTTTAAGGGTTATAATTTCTTTTAGTTTGGAGGGCATTTAGTTGGTGGATTTTATAGTTATCTTTTTATCTTCTCTCTCCGCCAATTCTCTCCTTCTACAAAACCTCTGTTCACCATCTCCATTCCATCTCCGGCTATTAATTAACTTCATCATCAATGGCTCCCAAATACTTCATCATGCCAAGCTTCGATCTTATGCTACTTTTTATTTCTTTCTTTCTTTCTTTCTTTTTTATTGTTTTACTTTTACCTTTAAATTTAGAGAAGTGATATTGCCCAAGATAAGTTGTAATCATATACATTATTTTTAAAATTAGGTATTATGTAGATGTATTTACATTTGTGTCGATTTTAAAAATCTCATAATACCATCAATTTTCACTTGGTTGCCAACAAAAACTTGGCTATAACCATAAGATTTAGAATTCTATGTGGCTTCCTCTTTATGTTGTGCAAGACTACAAGGTTTTATTTTTTCTCCCTTTTGCCTCTAATTTTGTCACAAACTTGAAGAAAACAGATAAATATTTATTTAGAATCAAAGGGACAATTGGCAAATTACTTAAAGATATTATCATTATTTAATACAATCTATTAGAGGTAAAATAATGTTTTTGTATTTTATTATTAAAAAAGTATTTTTCAATCATAATTGTATTAGATTGTAAATATAAATCTTTGAATGAGGGCCCTCCATGATCCAAGAATTCATATTTTGCAGTCCTATACAATTTAGACTACAAAACAACAAATTCTTTTATTATTTATTTTTAACAATAATTTTTTAACTATATATTTAAAAAAAAAAACAAAAATATATTCAAATAACCCGCAAAGCAAATTGAGAAACGCTAGTATTGTTAAAATTGTGCAAGAAGCCACTTATGTATTTAGTTCAATGCTAATGATTGAGATTTCATAACTTCGAGATTATAGGCTTCACTTCATAGGTAATGAACCCTTTTTTTTTTTTTTTTTTTGTAATGAACCCTTTTTTTTTTTTTTATGTGCATTATGCCTAAATTATTTATATTTTAGAATTAGCGCTTCTCCACCTTGTATCTTCTAAAGATAAAGAGGAAAATTAATTTAAAACTATATTATTTCAATAAACACTACTAAAATTTTGGTTTTTAGCAACAATACATCAACAACATGGTTTGGTTTGTTGCTGAAAATATGTATCAGTAACATAGAGCTTGTTGCTGAAAGTTATTCCGTACACCTCATCTTGCAAAAGCATCCCCACTTTCAACAATGTACTTGTTGTTGAAAGTAACTTTCAGCAACATGCTCCATGTTGCTGATATTTTCCGGTGAGTCCCCTAACACTTAAATTGAGCTATACTTTTCAGCAACATGTTCCTTGTTGCTGAAAGTGAATTTCAGCAACAAGAGCTATGTTGCTGAAAACCTTGAGTATTAGCAACATATATCTTGTTGCTGTTATTCTTATCTTTTTACCAACTAAATATCAGCAACAAGGAACATGTTGCTGATATTCTTTGACCGATGGTTGGCCAAATCTATATATATATACAAGCCGTCTGCAAGAAGGGGTAGTACCACCACTTGCACTTTCAGCAACAAGGGGTATGTTGTTGAAAGTGAATTTCAGTAACATACCCCTCATTGCTAACATTTTCAGGTCACCATAGCATCCATACCACTTTCAGCAACATGGTTCTTGTTGCTGAAAGTGAATTTCAACAACAATAACCATGTTGCTGAAAATCCTTTGACCGGTAGCTCACCCATTATATATACACCTTTTCATTGACAATATATACACACCTCTCACACTTCTCAATTTCTTGTTATTTCTCCCTTACTCTTGCAATTTATTTTTTTATCTTCACATAATTATTTTTATATGATAATTTAAAAATAATAATTTTTATAAATTTCAAAACTCTATTTTTCTGTTGCTTAATGGAGAGTCAAAAATATTTTGATAATCAATTGGAAAGTCAAGAATATTTTGACAACCAATTGGAAAGTCAAGATTATTTTGAGAATCAATTGGAAAGTCAAGATTATTTTGAGAATCAATTGGAAAGTCAAGATTATTTTGACAGCCAATATAATGGTATAATTTTTTTTTTCTTCCCCTATTTCTCATTTCCCGTTTGTGCACCCCTTTTATTACCATATTACTTAACTTTATATTATTTTACACAGGAATCGTTGAGAATACTCCTGAATCATTATGGAATTGCCCATCTGAAAGTCCTTCCAAGAGGAAGTTGAAAAAAGCAAAGAATAATATATCAACTGACCAACAAATTCCATTGCCTAATACTGTAAACTACTCTGTTTGTCAAATATGTGATACTCTTGGACATTTAGCTACAGTTTGCCCGCACCGATATGCTGTAACTTGTCAACTGTGTAACCGTGAGGGTTATATTGCAAAAATTTGCTCGAACCGTTATCGATCACCATCTTTGTCAAATCCACCCAAAACCCCTGCTGAGTCCTCCGAAACTATTACAAAGATTTTTGGTAATGGTAGGCGTCTTACATTTGAAAAAAAAAAGTATTGGGATGCTGTTGTTCAAAAATTACGATCTATCCAAGAACCATAATATAATTATCTTACTTATGTTTTTCAATTTTTTTTTCAATTTCTCTTGTTTTCTTGTGATTATTTTATATATTTTGACATTACAATATTTATTAATGATTTCTAAGTATTTCTCACGTTAATTATTAAAAATTTGCATGAAATTCTTTTACTTTGTGAATCACATAGTTTAAGAGTCCAATCTTACATAGTAGAGTCGACTGTAAAGGACTAAGAATCGACTCTCAACATAGAGAGTCGACTATTTGAAGGGAAAAAAATATGGCACTTATTAGGATTTGGTATTCGACTCTCCACATCGTAGAGTTGATTCTTTTGATTTAGAGTCGACTCTATGATGGAGAGTCGACTATAGGCTGCAACAAATTAAATTCCAATATACTGGAATTTGGTTGTCGACTCTTCATATGATAGAGTCGACTCTGAATCCAAAAGAGTCGACTCTATGATAAAGAGTCGACTATATGCTGCAGCAAATTAACTTCCAGCCTACTAAAATTTAGTAGTCGACTCTTCATATTATAGAGTCAATTCTATAATGGAGAGTCGACTATAGGCTGCAGCAAAATGCATTTGTTGCTTACTGGAAAATGGGAGTCGACTCTTGCTGCTTGATAGTCGACTCTCATATGCCTGAAGAGTCGAATATAAGCCTAGATCCGACTCTTCAGTCCATTTTTGCTGTTTAATTTCCCAGAATTTGCTGTTTACGTTTCTTTTTTGTTTCATGAACATCAACTATGTAAAAAATACTATTGAATCATTAAAACCACATGCACATAAAACTTTAAAACCGCATCCACAAATGGCCATTCAAGCACACTATGGACTACCAACTTACTTGCCATCAATGGAAGCACATCAAGAACATAATCAACCAATACAAATCATCACAATTATGCTATGCTCATTGATGTTAAAATCTGCATTCAATTAAATTGCATCTAATGTCAACATTATATGTACATATTCAAAAATATAAAAAGTCAATACATTAAGAAAACCTTCAAAAGAGTGTTCAAACATTAAAATGATAATTTAACAGCCATCAACAACTACAACGGGAGGATTTATGCTTTCGGATTTGAAAAGGGATCAGTGGGTTGTTGTCCAGAAGATGTGCCAGCAGTAGACGGATCTCCTCTTGTCCCTTGAGGACCTATAGGTGTTGCCATCTGACAATTGCGAATGTGATCATCGAGCTTTGATTCAATCCGTGCAAGTCTCTTGAGAATGAGTTGCATTCCTCTTTGTGTGGTGAATCTCTGAGGAACTCGAGATGAAGTAGCTTGTGAGGGACCTGCTTCTTCAGTTTCTTCGGCATGTTCTTCATCATCAAACCCCTCACCTTCATCATCTTGTCCTCCTCTTCTCATTTTTTGCTTCATTTCCCAAGAATTTGTTCTTGCACTGAATACATACCCCATTTTGTTCAATGAACTCTCATTCAAAAGCTCGTGACTGTGTAGGTCTCGGGACTCCATACCACGCAAATCAACACCCGCATTTTCCATAAGTAATGTGATGAGAGTGCCATACACTAGTGCGAGTGTCGATCTACCCTTATAATACACCATTTGTCTCATAATATGGTGTCCTAAATTGATCCGCCTCTGATCAAGAATATATGCAAACCACACACAATCCGGACCACTAAATTTCCCAAAAGAACCTTGCCTTGGCAAAATTATGTGATTGTAAATCCAAAACATTAATCGATTCTCCAAATTCAAGTGGTGAATGGTTAATGTTTGTCCCTCATTGTACTCATCCCCCATGATAAATTTCTTTGCTGATTCCTCTGTAAATGCATTCAATTCGATGGCTCCCTCATTTGGAAAATGTAAAACATCATTTATAGTTTCAGCATCAAATTCAAAAAATTTCTTAAGAACTGTTGTTCTATACCCTCCATCCTCCGAATCAATCAAATTTGCATAAAAAATCTTTATCAACTACGGGTAAACCTTCACATTTCTACTTACTAATTCAGTCCACCCCATTGCATCTAACATTTCTCTAATATGCAGCCCCCCTTTGCATATGTCATCTAAAACTACTCTAAAACCATAAACGACTTTCCTATTTCCTAATTTATTATAGGCTTCTATAGCATTTCTAGATACAAAGTTTCGAGGGTGATCGGGTTGAAATACCTGCTCCGTGTTTGTGCTTTCACCACTGTCCTCAGGACTTTGCCCAGCCCTTCGACGCCTTCCAAACGTGCTTGCCGCCTGCCCCCTTGCTTTCTTTACAACTCTTTTACTCCTCACCATTTTGTATAACTATGCACGAATCTTAGAGGAATGGACCGAAAATGGTGTGGGGTTGTGTTTGGGTGAGTTATTTTGGTGAAATTTGGGAGGATTTTGGCTGGGTTGAGTGTTAGGTTTCTTAGAGAGTTGAATATGAGAGAGAGGAAAAATGGGGAAATTTGGAACTGGAGCGGTTTTAATCAAATCTCGCGCCAAAGAGTCGACTATATAACCTGGGAGTCGACTCTTACAAGCAAAACAGTCGACTATAGAAAATAATAGTCGACTTTGAATGGAGAAGAGTTTATTTGCCTACAGCATTAAGAGTCGACTTTTTGTCAAAGAGTCGACTCTGTTCTGCACCAAAATGTTTCGCTGCTGTCTGGAATTTGGGAGTTGACTCTTTGTATTATAGAGTCGACTCTGTACTACACCAAAATGTTTCACTACTCTCTGGAATTTGGGAGTCCACTCTTTGTATAATAGAGTCGACTCTAGTGCCCATAAGAGTCGAATTTACATTTATAGAGTCGACTCTTTATTGGAATTCATAATAATTTTTAATTTTTCGCAACAACAGTCGAATATATAACTCTGTATATAATCCTATAATTATATTTATTATCTTTATAATATCACATAAATACTATTTATTACCACATAAATTCCCCTCTTACCCATTATACTGTAGCAAATAACTTCTCCATCTCCTCCATTATTCCAGCATCTCCTCCATTATTTCCCTCTCCTCCATTATTACAGTAACTGTTCTCCTCCATTATTACAGTCACTGTTCTCCATTATCT